CAAGCCTATTGGCCTTTGTGTCTAGACACCCATTTGTCACCTTCTGTGGAGTCGAGCGGTTTGCGACAGGCTTTCGTTCTCTGCTGGGTGGGCGAAGTTTCGCTTTGACCTGAACTCGGTTCTGGTCCCGCTCAAATCACGGCAGCCTTTGCCTCCACCTCGCCTTCTGCCTCCCCAGTTCACCAGAATGCCCGCGGCCCGATCGCCTGCCTTCTGCTCGCCCAGCCGTACCCGTCCCCTCCTTCACCTCCCCGCCTCGTGCCCCTCTTACCTCACGGGAACCGTGAGGTCGGCCCTCGCCTCCGAATCCTGCACGGCCGCGGCCGCACGTAACTCTTCCCACGTCGTCTCCTGCTCCCTCTGTTGCCTGATGGCGGCTCTGACCTCCTCCTGCCCTGTGCGTGCTGCCCGCCCGTTGCTGCGGTTGGCAGATCTTCCGCCAGCTTCCCCCTTCGGCTTGTTTCTCCCCCCTTCAGCTTTCGTGCAGAGATCCTGCGCGACACCCTGAGAGGGGCTCGGGCTTCGCAGGGAGCTGGTGCTGGAAGGGGAAGCCACCCGGTGGGTCTGAACCCGCTGTGAGGATTGAGGCGGACCGTTCTGCCGGCGTAAACAGAAGTCACGTTAAGCCACAAGCAGATGCGCTGGTCCTTGCCTGTTGACGTAATGGTAGTTGTTGTTCCGCTGTCACTGCGGTTCCCGCTGTCACAGGGCTGCAGACTCCTGCGGGAGCCACGCACGACCAAGCCGAAGGGGCCAAGGGCTGCCTGAATACTTTGCAACTGGACCGTCTCTCATGCCGCTTGCTTTCCCAGGGTTGGCATCCTGCGCGGATGGAAGCAAAGCCTCTTTGCTGAGAAGACCTTCTTCCGGCACGACTCTCCTTCAGCCTGTCTCCGGCACTCGGCCCAAGTAAGGAGGAACACGGGCCGGACTGTGACAGCTCCGTGCCAGGATCGTCAGCCTCGTGCCTGCAACGAGCTCCGTGTGAGCGAGCCGTCGTGCCTGTGTGGAGAGCTGCTGGTTTCAGCCGTGCCCAGAGGTACCTGCAGGAGAAGCCCTAGGCATCGCGCTCGGCCTTCTTGCCCTCAAGTGTTGTTTTCTCTCCGGTAGTTAGTAGGGGGAATGGAGCGATGGGGCTTTTTTCTGCACCGGGAGGGTGAGCTGACCTCCCGGGGGGTTTTTTGGCGTGAGAAGCAGAGAACGTTGGAAAAGGCGCCACGGAAGCCGGAAGACTCGCTCGTGCGTTGGCTGCCTGCAGTTTTGCTGGTGCCTGCGCGTTAGCCCCACGCAGCTCACCCCCCTCACTCCAGGTGATGAGCCGCAGGGGAGCACGGGTTTACCCCGGGCTGAGCCCCCCTGCGTCTGCGCCTGGGGTCCTGCGGAGGGGCAGGCACCCCCCAAATCTGCCCTTCCCTCCGACGGTGCAGCATGCAGCCTGGAGCAGAGCTAGCCCGTGACTGCCACAGCGGCTCACAGAAGAACGTAGTACACCCTTCTCTTCCAAAAACTGCATCCTCAGCTTTGCGGGGTCAGGCGTTTTGCCCGTCAGCCTTTTGATTTAGGCAGCCGCTGCCGTGGCATTGCAGCAACACCTCCCTGGCTGCCGCTGCTCCCCCTGCCATTGTGGACCGCTGTCTCTGCTTCTGCCCTGCTCTGGTTCTGCCCTTCCAGCCTCCTGTGTATTTGAGTGTCACTTGGCATTTTACCATCACTCAAGTCTTAAGCACTGTTTTTAATGAATATATTTTAAAATTGATATAGAAATAGGTAGAAAAATCTAGTTTTTCAGGTGGAAAGTAAGGCAAGCAGAAGAAAAACGCTTATCCAAGATCACCTAGCATGCCAGCGCCATAGATCAGTGATATGCCTACCCCGTGGCCTGGATTGGTATCATTTCCTCCATCTGTTCCCTGTTAAAAACTGTGCACCCTAATGCACAGTGCTGTTATTTCAAGATATTAAGATGAGAATTTTTATGAGTAGAATCATTATATTTAAAATATTCCCCTTAAACACACTACTATTTGATTGGAATATTAAATAACATTTGGATACGTAACAAAGGCTAAGAACATTTCTGGGTACACTGTTACTAGAAGCAATTCCTGAATTTGGCTCAAACTTTAAGAATTTGTTATAATGAGGGTGGAGGAAAAGTGTGTGGTGGGGGGTTGAGGTGGGTTGTTCAAAGTGTGTGTTTGTTTTTATTTCTTAATAACAAAATAATTACATATTTATATCAGTTCCTAATAAATTAAATTTATTGAAATTCCCCAACTCAAAACTACTTTTTTTGTCGCTCAGAACAATGTATATATTACTACGCACCAGCTAATGACATGGTTTCTCATCTTCAAATGCTTTTCATTGCAATTTAAAAAGGCTTCTAGTTTTGACGGTAGCAGTGAAGACAGAAAGATGTGGTATGGAAAGCATTGTGTGCCCAAGTTGATAATTTCTGGTGATAATGAATGCGCTCTGGATTTCAAGATGGTTGGGGGTTTTTTTCTCCCAAGAATTTGGACTCCATTCAAGCTATTTGGCAAACCCCTTTGCCCATTTAGAGGGTAAGATTTATGGAAGTGGCTGTGGAGCCGCTCTGCTTATAGCTAGGGAAAGAATGTTACCTCTTGCAGGACTTGGAAACTTTCATGGTTTATAATCAGTGCCTTATTTTCAAGAATCCTTCTTTATACTGAATGTAATAGGCAAAAATTGCTGGAAAAAGAAATTAAATGGCAAACAGAACATTTTGCAGGAGTGTCATATGATCTGTCTTGATAAATTTATGCAAAAAACAGTCTCTGTTGCTTTGTACATGAAACTTGCATGATTTACAGTCTCTGAGACAAAATGCAGAAATCTTTTCTTAGAAAAGCATCGTTTTTGCTTTTTCAGAATTGTAGTGTGTCAAGTTGGAGGGCAACTAATAACGCTGAACAAGTTTTGCAGGAGCGCCAAAATAGGGATAAGAGAAAGGCAGAGGAGGCAAAGTTTGAACAGAGTCCCTTTCCCTTGGAAATACTGTTTGAGCGATCGCACGAGGACTGTTCTGCAGGGACAGATGGTGTTAGTTCCCTGGGCCTCCCAATGCTGGTTATTTAGTAGGGGCTCACGGGATACTCCTAACAATTTTTTGATACTTAAGCCACCTAAGAGACTTTCTACAACATTTTTAGAGGGTGTTCAACTTGATCAGCCTTGTAAAAATTGCCAATGCTGTCCTTTATTGTTAACTGTACGTGTTGACTGCAGTATAGTAAAATGCTGATTAAAGCAGTGAATTGATTTACAGCTTAGAAGCCTTTGCAGAAGAATTAGTGAAAACATTCATGTTCTTAGCAAGATAGACAAGACAGAAGTGTTTTGAGGTGAAAGAGTTATTTATTAAAGACACTGTTGGTTTGGTTTTTTTGTGAGTGCTGTCAGGAGTGTATGGATTGCATTAGAAAACAACGTGCTGTGTAAGCCTTGGTAATTAACTGTGAACAATCAGAATTAGAATTTTTTTTTGATGTATTAGGAAGTGAAATATATTGCAGAATTACCTTTAGTGCTCTACACCTGTTCAGATTCCCAGGTGCAAACCCCATCCTTTATCAGCATTAATACTGAAATGGAAAAATACTCCTTTTCCCTACTGGGAAGTTTAAATCTTTTCAAACGGAATTCTCTAGGCATGTTTCTATATGCAGTTTTAAAGTGTTTTGCATTTGAAAGAGAAAAACAATCTCTTTCTTGTAGGTGCTTCCCAAGCATTCAAAGAAGAGAGGAAATTAAGCGGATCCCAGCGTGAAGGACCAGATGGAGCTACGGTGAACACTGAACCTGCTCCAGCCAAGCCGTTGAGTCCTGTTGCAGAAACATTCAGAGTTATTCAGGGGGCAATGAGCGAAGAGTATGTGAGAAGCACTCAGGGTGTCTTTCAGTTTGAATTATCTGGTAAGACCATCGCTTGTAAAACCTTCCTGTGCTCATGCTCCTAGCAGAAGGCGCATGGTGTTTTCAGGCAGAAACACTCACCTTTTCAAGCTGATCCAGGAACAGACCCCCTTTCCTTTCATTCTGTCCCCTGTGATGCTCCCTTCGTTCTGTCCCCTGTGATGCTTCCTTCGTTCTGTCCCCTGTGATGCTCCCGTCGTTCTCTCCCCTGTGATGCTCCCTTCGTTCTGTCCCCTGTGATGCTTCCTTCGTTCTCTCCCCTGTGATGCTCCCTTCGTTCTGTCCCCTGTGATGCTCCCGTCGTTCTCTCCCCTGTGATGCTCCTTCTCAGGACCAGCTTCAGCACACGCGGGAAGCTGCTGCCGCTGCCGGCACAGGCAGGCAGGCTTTGTCGCGGTGCTGGCCCTGCGGCACGGGGTTAGCGTGGCGATAGACAGGGGGGCTCGCAGGGTCATGTTGAGAGCGCCGGCTGCCACCAGCTCTGTCAGCAAAGTGCTGCTGTCGGGCGCTTCTGCCCGTGTCCCCGATCCGTGGTGCCGCGGGGCGTCTGCCAGAGGCTGGCTTTGCGTGCACGCAGGACGTGGGGCAAGTGGTAACTTCTTGCAGAGCCCCGCCAGCGTACGTACGATGGAGTAACTGCTCCAAAGGGACACGGCGGCGTCCGTCTGGCAGGGAGGAGTAGGGAGGGCACAGCGCTCTTTGCTGCCTTGTCACCTCTCCCCACTGTCTGTTCAGGTGATGACGGAGGCACTTGGTACATTGACCTGAAAACCAAGGGCGGCAGCGCCGGTTTCGGAAAGCCTCCTGTGACGGCCGATGTGGTTATGAGCATGTCGAGTGCTGACTTTGTGAAAATGTTCACAGGTGAGTGACAAAGGCATTTGCCAGGGCGGACGCAGGTGCCAGCGCCCAGAAAACCTTCTGCTGATGGGCGAATGGACAGCCTCCTCGCTTTGTGGTCCTGGGAGGGAGGAGTTTTCGGCTTTCCGCGGCGCAAGTGAAGGTGTAGGATAGAACTCCTTGGATTTCTCTGAGCTCTGCTGTTCTGTGAGCAGCAAGAGCACAAAAGCTTGTACCGCTTTTGTTAACCAGGTACTGAAATTGTAGCCACGAGTGTAGCTTCAGAAAGAATCCAGTCGATCTGTTGGACTTGCGGTTCTGCACATCTCTAATGTGTGTCTCCTAAATGGGCACTGCTTTTAACAGCAGAGCTCGGTAGCGATATAGCTGCTAGGTCTCGCTGTAGTAGCATTACATTTTCCTGTGCACGGGCTGTCTCCAGTTCCTTTTTCTTTTTCTGATGGTTCTGTGTCTTCTTTTTAGGTAAACTAAAGCCAACCCCGGCCTTCATGTCAGGAAAATTAAGTGTTAAAGGTGACACAGTCCTGGTAGCAATGAGTCTGGGAAAGATGCTGCCACAGTTCGTTTTTGAACACTAGTGGAATAGTGGCCTTTCATATATAACTATAATGCTCTTTTAATACACCAGTCCTCAATTTTTCTTTGATGCAGTATAAGTATCAATAAAATTTGTAATTGTTAGATTGCAGTGCCCAACCACGAACACGCTTTTCCTTAAAACTTGCTATAACGATTAAAACAAAAATTACGTCCCAAAATTCTGATGTTTCAAGGATAGTTTTTTTCATTTTCACTTTTTCCTCTGATTGCAAACTGTCCTCTGTTACTGTGAGATGTAGACCTAATAGGACTTTATTTTTTAGAATGTTATCTTGTCTTTGAATTAGCTGTTGTCTAATGAGATGTGAGTTGTGATCCCAGGATTAGGGGATGCACAACATGTGTCCAGTGTACTGTAAGAGTTGAACTCAGCACTAACTTTTCCTCTGACTGGAAGACAAATAGCACTTTTCTCTCCTGTACTGGTTTCACAAAACTTGTAGGAACTGACCATCTCTATCAGATGTTATTAAAAAAGGGTGATGATCCCAAGCTATTGGAAAACACAATGTATGTGCTTGTGTGCAAAGTATGGTCACATAAATTTTCTTTGGGGAATCACCTCAAAATACAAAACATCTTTTGAAACCTACAGATACTAGAAAGTGTTTTGCCAGTGAGCATACATATTGATAGTACATTTCCAAACACTGTCCTGTAACACCGTAAGAACTGAAGCAGATCAAAGAACTCAGGTATTGGGAGCAAGGTTGTTTAATTTCACACCTATTTCACCATCAACACCATGCCTTTCCAGTTTTCCCTTCTGTGCAACTTTTCTGCCAAAGCTTTTTGGTTTTCAGTATTGCAGGGGTGGAGGGGAAAGGTGTGCAGCATCCAATTCAATATTAACTATGTCCTGGTACCTGAGGGAAGAATGTGCTTATTTGCTTCCCTGCTTGCGTCTATAGTTAATGGTGTGTGTGTTTCTTGTGCAGTCAGTAATACCGCTCTTGCACAAAATGGTTGGTAGTTGTGAATGTCATTTGGTGATGTACTGTGATGCCTGTGTAATCCTAGAGAAAGGTGTCATCTTTAGAAGAGAAGTGCTTTTGTTGGAGATGGATCCAAGGCAGCACAACGTGGCTGTGTTTCTTCTCTCTCCAGCACATCAGTAGTGTTGTTTGCATGATGGAAGAGTGAGAGCTTACCATGCTGCTCTGGGGAATACTGACTGCTACTGGCAGCCAGATCAGGGCTGTGCCTGACCACTGATGCCATTCTGTAATTAATTGCTTAGGCCAGGGAGAGGAGGGCAGGAACTACCACATCCCGCACTTTGATTAGTATAAGTGGTTACGGATTCACGCCCAACAGGACAAGCAATTCATTAGCAAGAAAAACAGAATACTTGGACCTCTGGTTTTCAATTAAGTGTATTTACACTGTGCTACTTGACCCAAGATAAGTGTGCATTCTGGAGGCAGCATCATGAGTGTGTGGGTAGGTATCCCACTGCCTTCGCCTCTGAGTCCTTAGGATAAGTGGGGTGGTGGCTGTGCCATGGGATGGGTGCTGTGGGACCAGCTGATGCTGAGTGTTAGGGATATTTGATCCTTGCATTACGAACATTTATATTATGCCATTCCTGGGGCTTCCGCTGTAAACAAAAATAGCTGAAAAAGAGTCTGCTGTGCACTGTTAGGACAAAAGCTACAATGGGTGCTGTAATGGAGGAATTACTGCTGGTATTTGCATTCTGCAGAGGATTTTTCCATGAGGGCAGAAATGTGTTTCTTTTTAATCTGTTGCTCAGTTCACAGCTTTTGAGGCCCATAAAAATGAAGTGACTAAACAAACTGGCTGTTCTGCTACTGTGAGTAACTGGAGAGAAAGCTACAGGTTCTTTGGGTGACAGCTCCGGCTGATAATGGAGGAAAGTGCTCTAAGACCCATGTGCAACACAGACACTATCTGCATGCTGCTGACAGTAATGAACAGGACTGATGGCTCGCCGCACTGCGAAGGAAATGCAAGCTCATGCCTCATGTGCCCAAGGGCTCTGTTTCGAAGTCTCCTCTCCCGCCTCTGCAGTACGGTTTCAGCTCCCGCGCTTGTGGGTTCTTCCCCATTTTGAGTGGAGCTGGGAAGGATCCAGCGGCCCGGTGCCAGCAGAGGGAGCAGTCAGCACACGGGAGCGCAGACACCCGGGGACGGCTGCACCCGCAGCCCCCGGGCACCGCGAAATGCTGTGGTGCTGCCAGGCTTGCACCAGGCTTGCTAAAGGCAAGACTTGCTAACGCGCACCAGTACCTTCTTCTGTTCTTACTAGGGTTCAAGACTGGGAAAGGATGGGATAAGCAGGTTTGCGGCAACAGCAAAACCTGTATCTGTGCCTTGCAGCCTCTCGCCTCCCTTCCCTCGCCTCCGCTACAACGTCCCATCTCCAGAGCAGGAGTGAGGGTGTACTTCTTGGTGACAGAGCACCAGGACTTGTCATACTCATTTGTCCCACCAAAATAATTAGTGAGAGTGTAATGCTTTGTTGTCAGGGAGAGACTTGGTTTGGAAGAACGCTAGCCTGAATGGTTAAAACTTCGACAAAAATCAAACCCACCAAATTGCTGTCCTTAAAATGGAGTGTTGGTTGATCTTAGTGCTGTGCAGCATTCTATCCTAGAATAAGATGTTGTTTTATATAGCAAAGTTAAGCAATAACTAAATGTAACTAACTCAAGCAATAATACACAGAGCCAGTATTTTTTACTGGGGTGTAGCTGTTTCTCTGTAGCTCTGCTTCCCACCACTCCCACTGGGGACTGACGCTGAAAGAAGAGGAGGGGATCTTGCCAGCTGTATGGGAACAGTATCATCGCACCTTTTGAGACAGGTTTACCTGCACAGAGTTTTATCACAGAGTGGGGTCCACACATCAACTTGAACTTAACCATAGCAGAAAAAGAATGGAAAGAGAAGGAAAGGGGAAACTGCCCAGTGGCCAGCCAAGAAGCAAAGCAATAGAGACCCCAGAAGAGTGTCCTTTCCAGTGTCAGCAAGCAGTGAGGATGAGGAAAATGACTATAACTCTTCTGGTCAGGCTTTTTCCTCTGCTAACTCTGTGCTTGGCATTAGGACCCAGCCAAGGTCCCTCTTGGTTGTTCCTGTATATGATGCTGCCAGTGCTGACAGGATAACATTTAATCAGTTGCAGGTGGTGCATGCCAGTCACTCCACTTTGTGCATGTTTATGGCTGGTAATGCTTGCGGGATATTTACATGACTGTCATCTACTTTTCTATTTGCTAACTCTTGGTTTTCCCCTAATGTAAACTGAAGTTACAAAACAGGCAGGAAACGCGGGGTGGGGGGGGAAAGGGGGATTCTCAGACTGTTAGCAATTGCTTTCCATGAAAACCTATTACAATACTGAGATTTGCAGGTGGAAGGCCATGAGAATAACAGCACAAAGGCATCAGCACAGGAAGGAGAAGGGAAAAAGACTGACACAGCAGCTCAGGTAGAAGGTTGCAGAGCTGCAAGTGAAAGGCTGGCCACAGAACTGCACACAGAAGGCCCTTGGCTTTGCAAAGGTGAAGGCATTTGTGCACACGTACATGCAGCAGTTGACGTGTCTGGCATTTGCTGTTCAGTGCTAAAAGAGGGTTTATACAATTAAATTGTGATCACAAGATTGGACTCAGAGGCCTACACTTTAGAATTTCACAACCAAGGAGGCAGGAAAGTGCACACAGTTTCTGCATGGCGTGGCTAAGCTCAAGCTCTGTGGTTAAGCTGAGTCTCTATGCAAGAAAGAAGAAGTGGGTTCTGTTACATTTCTTAAATGTGAACTGTAATTTTAAGCTTGTTTCCCTGTTCTTACTTTCCCCCATTGATAGGAACCACATGGCATGAGCATCAACTCTCAAAACATAACCTTTTCATCAATGGTTAAAGTTTTATCAGGGGGTGGGATAACTACCATATCATTATGTTCAGTCGTATTCTTTGTCCTAATGGTGTGTGAGTATGTGTGAGATATGGTACTGGGAGAATAAATAGCATAAAGCCAGTGTACAGAATTCTGGATTTTCTTCCTAGAAATATAATTCATACTCCATAAAAAATATTTTGTACAGAAGGATGTTGTCAGCTATTTCTTTATAAGCTTACTGTTTCTGCTAAAAATATTTAAATGTTATACAGGGGAATTTTGTGATCCAGACTTTACTGCAAAAGCAGAGTGCCCGAGGTCACACCTATTCACTGAAACTCAGGTCCCTCAAACTTCTAAGTTTATCAGGCCAAAAATGGAGGCAATAAAACAATAATGTGGTTGAAAAAAAAAAAAAAAAAAGCTGGGAGGAAATAAACCCAGCTGGCTCACTTGGTTTTTTGCTTTGCCAGAGGAATAAATGCTCTGTGACGGTGACAGTTAAACATATCCTAAGTAAATAATGCCCCATCTTCATGTTTACCACCTTGGCTGCTGTTATTTTCTTTTCTTTGAAGAAAAGGAGAGCCCCCAAAGACATGACATATGAGACACTGTTGTCAGCCTGTTACAGGTGGGCAACTGCACCAAAGGCTGGAAACGGTCCCAGGATTTCTGTGGTGGAACCAAAAATCAACCCCCGCATCAGCCCAGCTTTGTCATTGCAAAGCTCTTCCTCACCCGCCACCTTTTTGTGGTTGCACTGTGAGCTCTGTAAGGCATCCTGTAAAAAAGCAGGTCTGCCCTCACAGACCAGTGTTAAGAGGGGAACAGAAATGGGCACACTGTGGGTCTGCTACAGCCTTCATACGTCGCTTGTAGAAAGCTACCCCTTTTCTGAACCCAGGAACTCACAGCTAGCAATGCAAGGGGTTGAAGAGCACGACCCAGGTATGTTTTAAAGCCACTCTCTGTGTTGTAAAGCACAGTAGGGAATAACTTGAGGCCATAGGCTGAAGACCAAAGTGTCATGGTATCTTAGACATAGAAACAGCCCATTGTCCTTATCCTACATACAGAAATTGCACACTGTATGTTCGTACTAACGTCAGCCGAATCTCCATCCTATAATTAGCACATACTTATACTGCCAAGTCCCCTGCTTTCTTTCAAGTGGGTTTCTTGTTGAGCTGTTATTACACATTCTTACCATACTCATTATTCAGGCCTTTGTTTAAATTGCTCTGCTTTACCTGTGTATTTCTGTCATGCAACAGCTGACACTTGCCTGCTGTTGCCACAGATACGTCCTGTTCCACCAAAACCCCAGGTGTCTTTACTATCATTATGGGTCTTCCCAAAGCAAATGGGAAGCTGCTATCAAGTTAAAGAGGAAATGGAGAACTCCAGTCCCGTCCTTTTCTGTCTCAACCCTTTCTCGCAGACAGCTGCTCTGGGGAAGCTGTACAACGTATGCACTTCATCAAAGCTTTCTCTGACTCTGGTTTTTATTTTCCAGGTTGGTCTTTTTTTTGCCTCTAAGACACTTATGTTATTCACCTAAAGCAGAAGTAATTTTCAATACAGAAAGAAGCTCATTCTTTAAATTTTGAAATCATTTTTGCAAGAGCTCTGTCTTCCAAGCAAACATTGAAGAAATCAGAAGCTTTTCTGTATTGCAGCAGTTCATATTCTGTCTGATTTACACGCAGAGAGCACTGTTAAGCCCATTTGTCCTTCCACAAGAAAAAAGCAACTGAAACTGCTTCATTTGTGTAGTAGAAGCATAATGAGCACTGAAAATGAGACTTCTTGAAATATCTGAAGCCATCTCAGACAAGAGGAGCCTGGAAAGGAAACTAAATTAAAATCCACAGGAATTTCATACAAAGCAGAGTTGTGTGGTGACAATTCTGAAAACGCGCAGACTGGATTCTCAAGGGTATATTTCAGGCCTCTGGTGAAGTAGCATAGGATTT